ACTCTCTGCCCCACTCTCTGCCCCACTCTCTGCCTAACTCTCTGCCTCACACTTACTCCCATACCTTACCTCATTCTTTCCCCCACAATTTGTCCCACTCAGTGCCCCACACTATGCCACACTCCTCCACCTATGAGAAGCTGTGCACAGGCGAGCGACTGGCACCCTTTCGTTGTGGCCTGGGTGGAGTGGGCTGTATGAGCCATCCATGCCTGTCCCACCACCACCTCTACCTTCACCCCTTGCGGGAAACAGGCATTCAGACCGAAAGTTGCCCCATCCCTGCAACAGCAGGTTACCCCTCTGATCTGGATACCATTGCAGAGCAACGCACTTTCCGCTCCCAGGCCTGCAGCCCCACCTCCACCTGGATGTCTGATGAGGGAGAGGAAGAGCTGGACTCCATCACCACCACAACTTCAGTAACCACAGCGACGGTCATGAGTACAGCCACAGAGCCAATTCCAGTCTCCAAAACACCACTGGTCCCTCCCCTACCACGATCTGCTACTGTGGCATGTTCCATGGAAAGTTCTTTGTGTGAGGGGAAAGAGGGAGTGGAAGAAGAGGAAAAGCAGGAGAAAGAGAAGAGAGAGAAGGAAGCTGTCACAATGGAAAAGCTGGAGGAAACAACACTGAAAAGACTGGCAGAAGAAGGGCAACAGATGCAGATGGGCTCAAATGAGTTGGACATTCAGGGTGCAGTGGAGGAGGCAGGACAAGGAAAACTGTGCGATTTACCAGAGACATCAGCAGGGACAGAGGGTGAGCTTACATTTGGAGGATGCTGTGGAGAAGGGAGACAGGGTGGGACAACACTTGAAAACCACGCTGCGGAAGACAGGAAACAAGGGGATGGTCTATCGGCAGGATCAACCCAGGTAGAGGCAGCAGATCTGAGTCCAAGTCGCACAAGATTATCACCAGAAATAGAGCAGCCTCACACCTCCCAGCCGAGATCTACTTCCCACGAAGAGATAGCTGGTGTCACTGTAGTTGAGGTCCATGATGAGGATGATGATGAGGATGAAACTGAAGAACAAGGCGCCACAGGAAGCGCCGCAGCAGATGGGGGAGATCCGTCTGGCTCTGGGACAATCGAGAAAAGCTACTGGAGCCGTCACTTTCTGGTCGATCTGCTAGCAGTGGCCATCCCTGTTGTGCCAACAGTGGCGTGGCTCTGCCGCGGCCCAGTCCGTAGTGGACAGCCAATGTACCATATAGGGTCGCTGCTGCGAGGCTGTTGCACTGTGGCGCTGCATTCGCTGCGCAGAGGAGGTGGGTTGAGGCATTACCCCGCAGGCGGGGGAGACATGGGTGGATCACTGATATGATATGTTCAGCACCTCTGTTCTGTTTGGTCCTGCTCCTTATTGTCTCTCACCCATGGGTCCTTGCTGTTGCTACCAAGATGTCTGCTAACATTACTGACTTGTGAAAAACTGAATGAGCTGATTGAAATGAATGATCTATGCTTGGATGTTTAAAACACTGATTGTTTTCTTTTAAATGCAGGGAAATGTTCAAGGTTGATTGATTTGTCAACTTACCAGTCTGACTCAATTCTGACATGTTCAAATTATCTTGTTTTGATGAGCGTGTACATGAAATATGGTATGTATATGTATAGGAATGTGTACATGTAATACCAAATGGTCTTGTCTGGAGTAAATGAGCTACACTCTGCTCTTTGACCAGTGACTGAGGGCAAATCCACCCTAATTCAGAATTCACATGACTGGAGAACGTTTGGGCTTCTCTTTGAGTCTTTGACGTCCTCAAAACTGAAAAGATGGAGCTTATCTGCTATCAACAACGCAGACACAGAACTCAGGTTCACTCTAAGGGTAGAAACACACCAAAACAGACTGCGTCAAGGCAGAACTATAAGAATAATCAATCAGTCATGCTGTTAAGCCAAACACAGTTTACTGCAGCTCACATTGTTGTTTCTGTTCATGCCAGGCATGTTGTACAGATTCAGCGTTTCTTTGTCTGAGCCCCCTGCATTGGCACCCTAGCTCTGCAGCTGGATTGGCCTCATTTAAATGAATGATGGTTTGCATTTTTGCAGTCAGAAATTTATATTTCAATCGGTTTGAGCTGTTCCCACATGGCTACTGTCAAAAGATCTGTAAACTGAACTCAAACGAAGCTGGAGCCAGCAGGCAATGCCCAGCAACCAAGCCTGACTTCACACCCATCTGCCCAATTCTAAACAAAAAGAAATAATTGTATTAATAAGATGTGAGGGATTTGTTGCTTTTACACTGTGTCCGGTGTGTTTCTACTCTGAGAGTATATGATCTCTCCAGAACCCAAACAAAGCTGATGCAAAAACTCAAGATCAGTGAATCCTTTTATCTTCTCTGTGCAGAGCATCCCTCTGGGTTTTGATTCTGCAGTTAGCCACGGCAGACATATTTTCTACTCCTTCACTATTTCAACCATTAAAGGAATGGTCTGACATTTTGGGCACATGATTATATGCTTTCTTGCAGAGAGTTTGATGAGAAGATCGATGCCACTCTCATGTCTTTACACTAAATATGAAGCTACTGCGAGAAGGTGATTAGCTTAGCTTAGCATAAAGGCTGGAAGCAGGGAAAAACAGCTAGTCTGGTTTTGTCCCAAATTCAGCTACTAGCACCTCTAAAGCTTATGACTTAAATTAAATCTTTTTGTTTAAATCGTACGCAACCAAAGTGTAAAAAAGACTTATTGTGTTTTTTTGCAGGAAGCTACGCACTGGAACTCTTTCTTCCCTCATAGGACCAGTGTGTAGAATTTAGTGGCATCTAGCAGTGTAGTTGCAGATTGCAGCTCCCTCGCTTGACCTTCCCCTTCTAAGCGTAAAGGAGAAACTACGGTAGTCACAAAAGGTGCAAATAATGCGAATGCCCCTATTAAGAGCTTAAATACAATTTTTCTCTACTATTTTCAATTTCTGCCAATAGATCCTCCTAAATGTTACACACTGGACCTTTAACAACAGCTCTCAGCCACTTTGTTTGTGTTTTTTTTACATATTTTCATCACAGCCTTTGTTCTTTGGTTTCAGGCTAAAAGAGAGAGTAATAAGACAACATGGACATAGGGGTGTCACAATATACTATTGTTAAAGATAATTGTAATATTTAAAACTGAAATATTCATATTGTGTTAACACATATAATATTGTGTAAATAATCCAGTGCTGACAGCATTATTTGTTTATTTTCTTGAATTTTCTATAGATATCGCGATAATATCGTAAATTGTTTTGGCCAAGATAATTGTGTAGTAAAAATCTGATATTGTGACAGCCCTACGTGGATATTGTGTCTTAGGGTGGACTCCTATACTCAGTCATACGGTTGGTCCTTGTACCCCTAAACCTCAGCTGAAACTCAATTTGGGTTACTTTCATTTCACATAACACACATAGGAAATCCGTTCATAAAATCTAATAGTGAAGTCATGATCAAACACTTGTTTGTAGATACTCACTGGCTCAGTTTGACACTTTGATGCAGATCTGAATTAAGTGAGTTGTGCTCAGTCTGTGCTCTGTGCTGTATATTTCTGCTAACTTAATGCTCTTGTTGTGTAGTTTAATTGTCACTCTGGTAGTGTGTATTTCAAGTCCACTGTACAAGAGTTAGTCAGTCACTGCAAAAAAAGTTAACTTTCTTTTCATTCTGCAACTCATTTTTTGTAATTGCATTATGGATCAGGATGTTTTCTTTGTTTGAATGTGCTTTTCCAGAGGACTTTGATGAAAGTGGCATCTGATGGCAATTTATTCTGTTTGCTGATCGTGTGCACATGTTTAACTTAATGTGTAAAAATAAGGGCAAATAAGCAGCCTGCAACTGTAAAATCAAAATACGTCTTGACTTTCAGAGACTCACAAGCCAAACGTGGATCGAGAAACACCCCGACACAACCAGCAGAAATAGTCTGACACCAACTGAATTGTTCAGTTCTTTGGTGAAGAGAAAAGCAGCATGAATCTTTTTGTTCTTACTATTTGTTTGACATATTTTGCACTATTGTTCACTTTATGAATTTTAAGCAATTACTTGAAGTCGAGATTGTATGTGTATCCAAAGGGTTGTATGTCCACTGAGTTCTGACTGATGGGGGAGTTGAGCAAGCCTTTGTCACAACCTCGTTCAACTTCCTCCTTTCCTGTACTGAGATGTGCTATGTGCTAGGCTGATCTATGTTGAAAAGACAAACACATTTTGAAGATGGTTAAAAGATAAAAGTGACATATAGATATATATAATATCACATCTTGAGTTAGCTAATGTTAGCAAAAAGGGGCGAGACTTAGGAAGGGTCAATTAAGTTTGACATTTAGAGTGTTTAAGTGAAACAGGTGACATGTAACTAAGATAATGCAGACATTTCAGGTAGATACTTAAAAATACTACTACAATATATTTAGTTATTTCTGTGAATACTGTAAAGCAGCTGCCTTTCATCCATGATAAGAGCTATTGATCTCAGCTCTTTACATTTTGACCACAATGTGTATCTACAGGCCATACAAAATAATGGACTTTTAAGTCTAATGCTATTGTAAAAAAAACACACACTGGTAAAGAATGAGCCGTGTTAATACTTCAAATTATATAATTGTCAGACGTCAGTGACAATCATGACAATCCCTGTCTGTGTTTGGGTTTCACTTCATCGATCTGAGGGATCCACAGCAGTGGCGGTGGCGGCGGCGGCAGCCATTATCAGTGCATTAAGAGCTGTGAAAAGACTGAGTGAATGCCTTGGAGACACACAGCCTCTTCTCCACTTACTTTGCCACATTTGCTCATTTTCCTTGTTCTCATGAGTTGTGTGCACTAGCTATGTTCCCATTTCCTGACTGTGTGAACTGCTTGACATGAAGTGGATTAGGAGGCTAAAACAATTTCATGTTTTACAAAAAGCCATATAATCCTGTGAGGGAACAGGTGTGAGAATGTCGGAGGCGGCCTCCTCCTCTCAATATTAATGTATTGTGAAAAAAATCTCTTAATAATGAAAGTCATGTGAGTGATAACTACTGTTTGTCAGCACTATACTTTGATTTCAGTCATTCAGACTCTCATGCTGCCGTTAAAGACAGGCTGCTGCTGTAACAGAAACAGGGTGATAGAGGAAAGAAAGGCCAAATTTAGTGAACTTGTGATGTATAAAGAGGTCCAGGCTTGTTGTGGGTAGCAACAGTCATCTCAACCCCTTCATCTATCTATGCACAACAGTCTACACTAAAGCTGCATTATGTTTTCATGTATGTGTGTGTCTGATAATTCTATTACTAAACTGTAGTGCATTGTTATTATTGGTAGTATTGTTATACGGAGCTCCCCCAAAGTCCTGAAAGATGATTTTTAAAATCTTGTGTGCGTTGGATCTTGCTTGCTAATAACCGTTGTACAAGATAAAAACTTGTCACCATTTGACATCTTGTGCTCACAAGTTTTCATTATGTTTTTCTACGCAAATAACATTATTCTGTATTCTGTAAGTTATGTATCTAGAAACACTGGTAGAAACACTACTGCTATTATCCACAGGGGGCGCCAGAATCAACACAAAATTAAAATTTCGTATAGGGTCTTTAAATAGACAGGTAAAATGTATTGATATGGTTGAAATTGTCTAACTTAACGTAATGGATAGTTGAAATAGTGAGCTAAAAGTATTAAATGCCATGTTGTTCAAATAATAATATGTGCACAATGTGCAAGATTGAAGATAATAACAGAAGTTCTCAGAAGCTGACAAAATTAAAAAGAAAATGTCAGGACTTTGGGGCCTCTGTACTCAGTAGCTTTTTGTCCTTTGCTTTGATGTATGTTGGTGTTTCTAACAGGCCTGTATTACACCTTTTTGTCTTCACTTACTAGTCCTAAATGGGTTTGGTGAACATAATGACATCCTTGTCATTTTGTCTCCTACATTTTCCAGTTCTATGGGTAACAAAATGCCCTTGTTTGTGTCAGTCCAGTACTCTCCCATGTTCAATGCTTCAGTTCCAGCAGTGGCTGGAAACTCATCAGAGTGTGATTGATTCATTCATTAAAAGTTCAATCTGATTCTGCTCCCATCAGTCTTTACCATACCGCACTTTATCAAAACCCATTCCGAGATTATCGCGAAGCCAAGGAGGCCATTATCCCGAGGGTGTCCTACTCTGCACGAACGTCGTTGTGCCTCACAGTGACCCGGTTTTCTATTTCTGTCCCATAATACACCTAAACTTCCTGCTGTAGTGTGAGGTTGTGTACAGTATGTGGGTGGAGGGGGGTGACTGATTATATACTACGTATATCCTTAGACACATAATGCTGAATATTTCTTGGGGAAGACAGGAGGAGGTGGGGGGTGTTTGGCTTTTTTTTTTGGTCAGTATTTAAATGTGTATTGTCATTATATGCTTTATTCCTCGTCTGATTGTCTGAGTATGTGTTTCATAGCCTATGTAATGATAATTGATGTATACAGAGGTTATACCAAGTCCTTCAACATCCTACCATTGAGGACATTCAATGCCTTGTATAGGAATTCATCTGAAATTATAGATATCTACAGATAACGTCATGTAAATGAACTATTTTAATGGCAATAGTAGTGTGTACAGTAAAATACATCAGTAGGCTACTTCTCCATTCACGCTCCCACCACACTGTATAAAGAAAGACCAAAAGCCCCTATATTAAACAGCATGGAGGAAACGTCTCTGTTGTCTTCATCTGTGTGTTTGTCTTATTCTAGTATCTCTGTTTTTCTTACTCCATATTTGTGTTTGTGGAATTATTTGTTCCCAACCACACTGTTTGAAAGAATATATCTAGGGATGTTATGATACATCCAATACAAATATGTGAAGATTCAAATCAGTGAGTCATGATATCTGTGTTTGACTTTGCTTGTTTGATGTCCTACATCAGTCAGTAGCTGTATCAAGATGAAAAGACCAGACCCATTGAGTTATATTATAGCTATATTTTAGCTCAATGGCTCTGGTAGACATAAAAATTAAAAGGATTCTATTGATTGGATAAAAAAGATATAAGAGAAAATTAGAGCCCGACCGATATCAGGCTAACTCACTCAAAGGTTCGATAGCAGTCAGGCTCTAATTTTCTCTTATATCTTATTTATCAAATCAAAGAACCTTTTGAATTTTTGGGGTAGGGTATAAATTCATTTTGCACTCTTAAAGGTATCAGAAGGCCACTTTCTTAAACAAATAACATACATAAAAACTATTGAAGCTAAAAGGTCTTTAACATATTAAATATTTTCAGAACTTAATTGTTTTGCAGAATTTATATCCTACATCAGAAATAAAAAAGGATTCTTTGATTTGATAAATAAAACATAAGAGAAAATTAGAGCCCGACCTATAACATGCCAATTACTGATGCAGCAGCCGATATAGCAAATTTGTGAGTTTGAATGTAAATAGACCTTTTCTCTGTGGCTTTTGCACTGAAATGACTCTGCAAAGGTACTCAGAAGGCTGGCTAGTTCCTGTCAGTACTCAATTGTAGCATCTTAATGGATTTATTGGGGCAGCCGTATAATAAAGAGTTGCAGTAATGCAGCCTAGAAGTAACAAATGCATGGATTAGTTTTTCTGCATCCATCAGCTCTGACATGACTCAAAGGTACTCAGAAGGCTGCTTTCTCAAATAACTTAAAGAATAATTAAGTTAAATATATTTTAACATGTTAAATAATTTAACATTTACATTGTGAACCAATTGTAGTTGTTACTGAGAGCTGCTTCTTCTCTTACTCTGTGCTGCTTGTACAGTATTATAAATCACAGCGCACTCTGCTGGATCAACTTTGCATTGACATAAATATATTACCACACGCATTTTGTCTGCATTACATACTGGAAAAATACTTTTCATATTGGCACACACTGAATAATAAAAACCACACTGATATGGCAATAGGTCAATATGGTGAAAATAATTTAAATTTATCTGAGAAATAAATGAATCTTTTTCAGTCATAATTTGTGTTCAGTCTAATTTTGTTAAAAAAAAAAAACTCCCAGTATCATGAATTGTATTGAATCATGAGTTGATTACATCTCTAAATATATCAGTATAAAGTTAAAAGTCCTGACTGGAAGAAAACACCAAGTTAATGTGAACAGAAAGACTTTATTTGTTTTACAATATTATCTTGGTTACATTCGTATATAAACTTTTAGATTTTTCTAGCATTTTCTTACAGAATGACAGTGATGTTTATCAGATTGCATACCTAGAAAATTAAAGGAATACATGCATCCAAACATGAACAGCATTAAAAGGAGCAACTTTATATAACAAGTAGAAATTCACAACTGAGAGTGCTGCTTGTTCTCGCAGCGCTCGTCAGTCAGGGAAGGAATATTACAGAGGGACGTCCTCTAACGATGCTTAGCAGAGGAAAGCAAGTTCATTGGCTGAACCCATTATCTGGAATCTGAACACCTTTAATTTGAGCGCATGGCTTTCAGCATCAAATTTAAGCAGTTTCCTATAGTTAACAAGTTTGTATTCATGAGTTCTCTCATTAACATGAGGCACCACAAACACAATAATAAAAAAAAAAGAGCACAACTGTGAAATGGATACAGGAAAGACAACCTCTTAAAAGGTAGTGGAAAGTGCACTTAGTGGGTCTGCCCAGCACAGACCCTGTCCAATCAAACACCAACAATTTCCTCAAAGATTAGATTTCCAACAAACAGCCAATCACGTACTGCAGTGTGAACTTTGCCTTTCACCGTCTCATAGCTCTCCATCAGGAGATATACCTGCTGTTTAACCACGTGTTCATGTTGTGTTCATTTCTCAGGACGTGCACAACCAAACGGTCCAAATGGATGCGAGGCAGCCATCATGTGCATTCTAACACGTAGTCAAAAGCAAGTATATCTCTGGCATTATGGGGTTTGTGGACAGGGCTCAGTCCCAGCTGCATAGGGCAACAAACATCTACTGCTGCCCCTTTCCCTACACTTTCCCCTGGAATGTGCACACAGTGTTCCCAGTACCTACGAATTCAACACGCAAAGAGTCTCATCGTGACATTTGCCCGCAGAGACAGGAAACGTGGTACAATGATACATCGCCACCTCTTTGAGAAGATGTAACTGTCTCTTATATGTTAGAATCCAGGGACCATAAATGTTGGGTATCCACAAAAAAAAAAAAAAAAAA